GAATATGGGATATATGGGGATCTGATTGTAAAATACCCAAAGCCATATTCTATCTACTTAAGTGGGACTATATTTTCAAGCTCCAAGGTTGGGCAATGACTTGAGGAGGAAAGTGTGGGGCCTGATGAACTCGTAATACAATTCTTAACCGAATCCTAGACCCCTGCGCCCTAAACCCACACAACATGCAAAGGGATGCTTCAACTACTAAACTTACCACGTCATTCTTATTCCACATATTACTATCAGTTTCATTAAGATTGTGAACACCAGTGCTGTTATTTCTGCTGTTATTCTTTTGCACTCAAATGATTCCTTCTTCGACTTTTACTACTGCTATTGCTATTACATTCGGTAAGGTTTGAACTCTTGTTCCCTCACATAGGAGCCCAAATATATACACTCACCAATCATGTCTACGAAGCCCAATGCAGACTCACCAAGAGCCAATGATAATACCCAACCACATACAGGGTCCCAAAATCCTAAACCCTACCTCATATGGGGTCCCTTCTTGTGGAGAGTGGCAAAGGCATTGATGTCTGCATCCGGGCCCGCAAGGCCTCCAGCGCTGAGCCTCAAGAATCCATGGGTACATGATCAGATTTGGGGTTTAGGGCTTAGGGATAAGAATGCTACTATTGCTGATGTTGATGTTTGTGTCGTCATTACTAGTAACAGTATTATAACTATTGATGCTACCATTTCTACAGTTGACATTATAATATACCAATCATCAATGTTTGTTCGGCATGCTGTTGTGGACGTCGCTACTAGTATTATTACTGAAATAACATGAAATTAACGCCGTTGTTGCCGATATTTCTATTGTTACTATCATAATTGAAATCATCGGTACTACTGTTGATAATATTAATCTCTAATATCATTGTTGTTGTTTGCTGCTGTAATGACCTTGACGGGGTGGTTCAAGCGGGTAGTTAGTCAGTCTCAACCGTAAAGTCCATGGTGACCTGATGCTTTCTGATTCCAGGCTGCTTGCAACTTGCTGGGATGTGAGGCTCTCTCAAACACTTCTTATCCCGTTTGGGGGACTTCTATCTTGGCGCTGTGTGGGGAACCCGGCTCTTGAGATTTCCCGAGAGATACGCAGACGCTGCCGCGCCGAGACTGCCTCGCAACTGCATAGAAATGTTGTGAAACATGCAAGAGATTAGCAATGCTCCAACAAGATCAACCCTTCTGCTGCAGTCTGTGCAAAGAGGACGGACTCAGAGGCCAAGCGACTTCTATACAAATCCTCGAGATGGCCGAGTGTCAAGGAAGTTGTGTGTGTTCATGCATCCCAAAGCGGAGTGGATCCCCCAAAGACACCATGATTTTGAAGCCACGCCAAGAATATCCTGAACCCACCCTCAAGCCAGGATAAATAGAAATTGTATTCTCGCCCGCCCCTTTCAAAAATCTCTCAGAAATAGACACCCAGTAAGGGAAGCACTCAATCATCTGTCTGGCAGGCACTTTGGCATGGGTGGGGTGGGAAGGATGGGCTCGCCCAGGAGCTTTTGGAACCATGTTGCAGGGATGTTCCTCAATTTTGGGCAATTTTGGCGAATTCTGTCCTCCCGAGAAAGGCAATGCTTTGTCATTCTTTGGAATTTTTCAACGCCCGAAATTCAAATTTGGACTCCAAAGCCTAAGGGCCTCCAGGGATTTTCCCTAATTCTGGATAGGGTTTGTCATCTTTGGGCCACCCGAGAGGGGCAAAATTTGGACGTCTTTTGCTCATTTGAGAACCCCCGAAGTTCGAACTCCCTCACTCAAGGGCCTCCCTAAGGATCCTCCCATGTTCACCGCGCTTCCCATGTATCATGGCCTATGAGAAAAAATGAAGTGCGGTGAGAGCAAAGCCCGAACCCACAACCAGACAGAATGCCTATAAACCCTAAAGCCTAAATAGTAGTTTCCATTTTCTTTTCCATTATCCCTATATAATCCCCTATATGTATATATAAATACACACGCCAAAACCTTACACAATGACAAGAACAGCAATAATGGCAATAACGATAATATACCCTAAAACCCTAAAACCCTACACCCAAAACCCTAAAACCCTAAACCCTAAAACCCTTAAACCCTTAACCCCTAAAACCTGAAACCCTTAACCCTAAAAGCCGGGCCGGGCAGCAAAGCTTTGAGGAAGGAGACCATCGTCAACGGGCCTTGGACTTACAAACCGCTGGGGGTTTAGGGTTTAGGGTGTAGGGTGTAGGGTTTTAGGGTTTGGGGTTTTGAATTTCTACCCGTTATATAGGGACATTGCCCCCAATGATGGAGAACCAAATGGAAATGAACATGGACAATGAAACGGAAACAGGGGTTTAGAGTTTAGGAGTGCTGTTAAGGAAATTAAAATGAGTTACCATAATGTGTACATTGTAAATAATGGGGTCTCCCATTATAGTAACTTAAATTAAGTTCCTTAACCCAGAAGCATGGGATGACATGATCTGAAACAAATACAATCGGGCTTCTACTTCAGAATTTTGGGGTTTAGGCTCTAGGATTTAAGGATGTTTAAGGTTTAGGGACTAGGGTTTAAGCAGCAATTTGAAGAAACCATGAACATGAAGATTCTGATAAGGCTACCTAAACCCTAAACCCCAAACCCTAAAGGGAAGCTGAAACACACACCCACACACTCCTCTCGTTTGCATCCCACTAAGTCACTAAGCCACTAACCATGTGGGCGGTTGTCAAAATTATGGTCCCTTTTTGGGTACCCTAAATACTAAGTGCCGTGTTTTATTAGAATAGGGATCCAAAAAGGGAAAATAATTTTGACACCACCCATGTGCGCTACTGTTAATGCTTACCTTGAGGGGGCGCTGACCGCTGACATCTCTCACGTTGGCTGCTCACCAACGGATCCTCAGCTACTTCATGCTGTTAGAGAAAGTACTAAAGTGGCCTTGGCATGTCCATCTTGCAAGATGCCAATACAACAGCTTAGGTCCCCCCGGCCTCCGCACAAGGGCCTGCTCCCAATCCGTGCAGTCCCATATCCTTACATCCCATAGCCCCTCAATCCTATAAAGCCTCGATCCAAAACACCTGCAACGTTCGGTCTTTATAGCAACTCGGCTGGAACGTCCACACTTGGAGCGCGGTGGAGGGCCTTCCTCACAAACATCGTTGCGAGCTCGGCCGCTTGCAAAATGTGACGCCAATCATCTGCTTGGGGAGTCAGGGGGACTTAGTACGGCCTACTTATCATAGTTATGAGCCATATAAAGCCGAAGCTATTCCCATTTTAGCGTACTTAGTACGCAACGTCCCTGACCCTCCAAGTGTGGGTCAGACGAATTTCTCCAGGTCCGATCCTGTCTTTGTCTGGACACTGGAGCTTGAAAGCAAAATGCGTAGATGGAACCCAGCCAAAGCCTCAGATTCCTTTCTGTACAACCACACCGATCAAATGCCCATACCACTCACCTGGTTTCTGGTTGGAAGGTGCATCGACGGCTGCCCACGAGGCAACTCTCTTACATGCAAGAGCTGAAGAGATTGCACCTTGGTGTCTTGCTTTCCTCGCCCGTCAGGGCTGCATCCAAGACCTTAGGAGCATCAGAGACCTCTGTCTTGAATCCCTGTAGCTGTGCTGTTGCTTGCTCCGTCAAGTCCTTTACCTCCTCTTTTGTGGGCACCTCTTGCTGTGCGGCCTCTGCGATCTCCTCTTTCACCTCTTCTGCCACGACGGCCGCTGCTGCCACCACTGCTTCCTGTGGTGGCTCCTCCTTTGCCTTTGATTGACGACCAGCGCTCAAGACAGGATAGTTTCCCAGTTATGCTGTATACAAGCCACGTCAGAAAGTAGCACTCTATCGTCAGTTGAATAAGCTAGGTTGCTGCTAAGGAACAGTAAATTACTATAGTGAGGAACCCTGTTATCTACCATGAGCAACCCAGCTCATTCAGATGCCCTAAATCCTCAACCCGAAGCCCGAATCCCTAATCCCAGCACCCGAAGCACTAATCCTGAAACCCTGAACCCTAAAGCCCAAAACCCTAAACCCTAAACCCCTAATCCTAAACCCCAAACCCTAATCCCCGTAATCCCTAAACTTCCTAAACAGCAACCCAGTAGCTGCATCCTTCACCTCCTCCTTGGTCTCCTCCACTGCAAAACATATATGTATATCTAAACACACATATATAATAATTTGCTATACTACACTATACTATATTACATTATAATGTAAGATATTCTATTATGTTATATTATATTACATTATATGATATATCATATTACATTATATTACACTATATTATATTATGTAGAAACCGAATTTCATCCTTGGTCTCCTCCACTGCAGGCAGCACGGGATCCGCTGCCTTGGCCTCAGCGGGAAGCGCGGGAACCTCCGTAGGCTCCTCCGTCTTGTCCTTTGGATTCTATGGTGCTTCTTATGGCTTAGGGTTTTCGGGGTTTAGGGTTTAGGGCGTAGGGTTTTAGGGTTTAGGGCTTAGGGTTTAGGGCTTAGGGTTTTAGGGTGTAGGGTGGGGCTTTTTAGGGGCTTGTCCTTTGGATTTTCTAGGGTTAGAAGTTACTCCGGGGTTGTATGAGGGCCATTGGGGTCATACAAGGGTTTAGGATCATATAAGGTCTGATTATGGGGTTATATGGGGTTGTGTAGGGACCTTGTCCTCTCCAGGCTTCTTATGTTTAAAGGGCTTTAGCGTTTATATAGGGTCTAGGAGTGTAGGGTGTACATTAGAGGAAAATGAAACGGAAAAGAACCTTGAAAATAACATGGTAAGTACCATATGTAGGGTTCAGGGTTGTGGTAGTCTTCTTGTTTCATTACGGTCCTGGTGAGACATAGCCTCATTCATTCTAGCTCCTGTTGGCTTTGTGGTCTGACACCCAACTCTAAAACCTGAGACCCTCAATCATGTGCCCCAAACCCTAAACCATGCATCCAAAACCCTAAACCGCGCACCCTTTTGACTAAACCCAGATACCTCCTAAACGGCCCTAAGCCGGTCCTGCGCTGTTGGGGAGACTTCCTGGGAGGCTGCTGGCTCGGCAGTGGGCGCCTCGGTGGAAGCTTTCGACTCGGCAGCCACCTCCGTCACGGCAATGGGGGCCTTCTCCTACAGCGCAGGCATCTTCACTCAGTAGAAACACCCAGTAATAGTGACTATAAGGGATAATAGGGATTGTATTAGGGTCCTCTTATATATTCCTATTATACCACTATTACAGGGGGGGGTCCTCCTAACCTATGTGTAATTTTGCCTTAGACTCTTTCAGGACCTCTTCGCAATCCATGGGTACCCAAACAAAATCTTAGGAAACAGAAGCCCCAGTCTCCGCGGCAACGGGAGCAGCGGCCTTGCTCTTCTGGCAACCCATGCTGTCTAGCTAGCGTGGAGTGCAAAGCCTGGAACTTGCTAAAGGCAGCGCTTGCAAGCCAGATGCTTTCAAGCCGAGGGCAAGAGGTTTTGCGGATTCAACCATCATTCGTCGGTCTGCTAGTGATGAGGGTATTTGGGGGTCTATTTTGGGTCCCCCTTATTTTGGGAAACTATCACGACCCTTGACGACCCTTGCAGAAGCTTTGAGACCCGAAGACCTCACCGTGCCTTCCGTAGTCTACAGGCGTGGAAATTGTGGATGTTTGCATAATCAAAGAATCAAACGGAGGCTGATAGCTTTTGAGGGTAGAGGGTTGGGGAGACAACTGCTTCTATGACATGGCAGAATCAAGAGCAACCAGCAGGAGTTTGCTAGGAGTACTACTGATCTGATAGTCTTCCTTCTTACGCGTCCTCTATGAGCCCACATTCCTCCTTGAGCTGAGGCACTCAGGAGAGGGACAAACCTTGAGGCGCCCTAAACCCTAAACCTGAGGTAGGCATGTATAGGGATAATGGAAAAGAAAATGGAAACTACAGGGATTATATAGGGATTATATAGCGGTTATATGTATATGGGGATAATTTGGAAAAGAAAATGGAAACTACAATAAGGGGTTATATGGGTTTAGGGGTTTTAGGGCTTAGGCTGGCATCTGACGACACCCATTCACGGGACACCGACACCCTACCAAAGCTGGGTTGCTGTTAAGGAACTTAAATTAAGTTACCATAATGGGTATCTATAGTAAATAATAGGGTTTCCCCAATATAGTAACTTAATTTTAAGTTCCTTAACAGCAACCCAGAGTTTTCGCTTCTTTCTGGTCCCTAAGCGCTTTTACAACTGGGCTTACACTAAATAATGCCAATGAAACCTGTGTACGCCCTAGAGAAGCCAGTGCTTGCCGAAGCGCAGATGGACGCCTGCTGACGCCCAGCATTTGTGAGCACGGGCTTCGGTTCTGGTACGATGCCTTCGTTCACCCAGATTTGGATACACTCTATCTTTAGGACTCAGGTCGAAGGCTGTATAGATATGTATGGAGTAGGGTACTTCCAGATGAAAATTACTCCTGTACAGCAATCGAGGATGGCCGCTCTTGAAGAATTATAATTCAGCAACAGCATAGGACTCGGCAAAACACACCTCATAGCTCTTCCTGCATTCCAAAGCCTGCAATACACCTGTCGCCGGAAGAGCAAGGGCCCAAAGGGTATACCCAAAACATTTGTATTAATCATCAATGATAATATCAATAATAATACTAGTAACAATAATGATAATGATAGTAGTAGTAGTAGTAG